TTAAGACCTACGAAAGACTGATTTAAGACATTTTAATATCAATTAAGGCCTTAATTTTATTTTGAAGAATTCAATGCCTTTTAAGACTTTTTAAGGACCCGCGGGAACCCTGGTTCTATCTAGAACTCCTCCGTGGAAAAGTTTTTGTTTCACCTGGTTTAGTTTTGTTAAAAAAACTCTTTAAGGAACCTTTGGCTATCCGATTATTAATTGATTAATCAAAAATAAACAAAAACAAAACAATCAACAAAAATAATCGATCTGTAAAATAATCATTAGTTTCAGAACTAGCAGTTGGAAAACAATTATAAATATGCATTTTATTTAATTCCCCTGAGTATGAACATCCCTAACTCCGACCTTTGGTGCAACCTTAAAGCAGTGGGATAGAATAGAAAGTGTCTGAACATAGTATAGTTGTTTTACTGCTTAATGTGCTTAATGTTTGTCTCACAAACATGCTTCCATCTGATCCATTTCTAGCTCTGGTTCGGTATTTGGAATTGCCAGTGTCCTAAAGAAAGGAGATCCTCAGTCTAAATGTCAAGTGTTTTGAAGCCTCCAACACAGGGGACTCAAAAGTGTGGCCCCGGGGCCTTTAATTGCTCTTTGAGTATTACTGTGTGACCCACAGCTGCAGTTCAAGAATGGCTTCAACGTCGATTATCCAGCAAATGGAGAATCTCATGAGCAAATTTAAATGTTATTAGATGAAAGACAAAGTATTTTTATTTTATTAGCTGTGGCCTTTTTTGCTATCACCTTAATTTCATGGTAAGTAAGCACCACATACATCCAGTAACATCTTACTTTAAAGCACACGGGGGATAAGCTCTCCATTGAACTTGGCTAAGAACGGAAAGTTTACATATTTGTTGCTGGGAACAGACAAGAAGGAAACAATTTTTAGACAAATTTCATAGAAAACTTTAGAAGTAAAAAGTTCGGAAAACCATCCTTTAGTAAGTCAAGTTTCTGAGAATTTTCAGAATTACAATGGTTATTCTGTCTACTTTTTTTTCATTAAAATACTGCATGCTAACGGCAGTAATGTAGAGGTCAAAACAAAAAGACTTTCATTGTTTAACAGTTGTATTTTACCCGCTGAGCACTTTTATCTTGACAGGTTTGGTGCAGCAGAGCAGAGTTGTATTTCCTCTGGGGCTACCTTGGTCTTAGGTCCAACCATCTCCACATTAACTAACCAGCTTCCCTGTGACTGCTGCCCAAACACAGCATGATGCTGCCTCTACAGTAGGGTTCAGGGTTATTGCGCAGCATTCGTCTCATCTGATAAAAACCTTTTCTGTTGCATGTCTGTTGTCCTCTGCATTGCAAACTCAAATGGAGACTTTTTTTATAACCTTCTGCAAAGCTGGGGGACTTGCAGCTCCCCCACACCTCCATACCTCTCAGCTGTTTTCCTTCCACTTAACATTTATTCAGCCCTTTGTGTTTCACAAATTACCGTATGTAAAATTGTTCAATAGGAAAGAATGCTTTGGCTGGGCAAGGTAAATAACCAATCCCTAAGGTACACAAGGAAAAACTCCCAAAGTGAGTGTTGGTACTTTAAAGTCATTCAGCTTCTATCTTTCATCACATATCTAATAAAGTAACAAAGGCGGCACCGTTTCTGTAATATAAAATCACAAAGCTGCCACAATTAACCACAAGATCAGCTCGCTATGGTTACCAATTCATTTGACTAGGCAGCAGAAAAACAGGGAGGCTAGTGGGTGATCCGTAAAATCAGGCGATTTTCTTTTCCTGACATTAATGGGACTAGTATTTGGAGTAAGTACTGGTGCTTTTTCACAAAGTTCTGCTGGAAAATGGATCATCTCCATAAATCCTCTCGGCAGTGTTCCAAATATCACCCTAACTCTGGACTTGAGATGTTTAACATACCAACACCACCACTAAAGGGGCCTCCAAATAATGTGAAAACTTGGGAAACTCCTCCAAAATCTTGATTGGCTTTGACCTCCAATGCTTGTATTGTCAAGTCATTTCAGCTGCTTGTGGACATTTTTCCACCCCTCTTTTTTCCCTCCACATATTGTTCCAAAAAAATATGCCAGCTTTTCATCCAAATGTTTTTTTTTTGTAGTAACATTGGTGAATTAAGAATCTTCTTAATGTCATTTTTGAGAAACTATAATTTGGGGTTTATCAAAACGAAAACTACAGTGTTGAATTACATTCTTCTGTCTAAATAATCTGTATTATATTTCCATTGCTGAATTGCATAAGGAAAACAAAGGACATTTTTAATAGTTAAATATTTGAGGTGTTCCTCAAAAGTCTTTATTCCAAAACAGCGGAAAATAACGGACGGATGAAGAGATGCGTGAAACAGAGAGAGCGAGGCTGCAGAGGGGGGCTAACTGCGAAGCTAAAGAGAAATTCCCACAGACCTCTGCTTCCATCAATCCCGCTCTCCAACGTCCGCTCTTCGAAAAACAAAATGGATAATTTCCGACTCAAACTCTCTTCAAAAAAGGAGAAATGTAACTGCTCCGCCATCATTCTGACGGAGTCCAGCAGTACCAGACGGTGCTGTTGGCCTGGGGGGGCTGATGCTGTACCGCACCGATAGGAACAAAGAGCTCTGCGTGAATGGAGGCTCCTCTGAGACTGTTCCCAGGCAATCTTTGGCATCTAGAGGGGAAGCTCTGCCCTCTGCAGGTGAAAATGAGGAGAGCACTCTAGATGCTTCCTTGCCAAAAGCTGAAACATCCCCAGCCGGCTCCTCCCAGCCCCCTCCGGCTTCCACACCTTCTCCAACATCGT